TATACGGCGTATAGTTTGTGCTTACACAGGAATTTGACATGTGATCGCATTGGCAAAATTATTCTATATCCTGCTTCTGCATTAGCTTAATTGTTAGCAATGCTATTGAATAGTATGTTTGAGATATTTTATATTCTCCTACAATCACATTGCCATGGCAGGATTGTAAATAATCTTTGATAAATAAAAGATTTGTCTGCTTTGATACCTTTATAATATTTGTATCTATAAATTTTCTATAAGTACAGACATGAGATATATCATAGCTAATGTAAAAATTGATATAAACAATGATTTTTTTATGATACTGCATAATGGGCTAATATTTTATTCTACATATAGTCTATAATTTAATTAATTTACAAATAACTATATGCATATATGTGTACCGTGTGAATCTTGAAGCAATCAATGACGGACTAGAATAATGAATTGGAGTGATATGCACTACAGGCTCATGTAATAAAGTTCTCTACAGTTTATCGTTAAAGTAATGAATTTTCAGTGAGTTTTTAATTTCCTTTTATACGTTCAATAATTGCAATACTTACGTTTTTTTCTTTGACTTTACCGTTGACAGGGGGAATAAGATAGACAACTGTAACTGATGATATATTGAAATATAGCACTATCTTCAATAAATGGTTCATATTGTCAGGGTGTTAGGTCGCTGTGAAATATAAATTTATTGTATTGATTGCTATAGTTTGTTATTAGGATTACAGACCAGTTCAGCTATTCATTGTAAGTAGAAATAAATATGATTCTGTTAATCTTAGAAATAACTATAACCTTTACGTTATACCGCTATGGTAAAATGTACTGCAGATATTTCTGTGGTCTACTTGTATCTTAATCAGTAGTGAACTAATTATTGAAATCAGTTCTCCGTGATAAATATATATTTTGCTCAAGTTTACTGCAGAGACCACATAGACTATCTCCTTAGGCATAAACGGTAAATTTATCGAACTCACTTTATTGCCCGTACACTAAACTTAAATACCATTCCATGTATTCTTATACAACATTACTCGTGCAAGCTATGAAATAACAGTGACATCATCCGAGGTTGATAGCATGTTACTATATCTAAATTAAAGAGTCTACTTTTACTACATAGAACTAATTAATAAATAGATTATATCATAAGCATACACTCCAATTACCACCAAAATACGTAGGTATTGATCTCTAAAATGATGCACGATTACATAGACTAAACATGGCAAAACGCAAAGGTTTCAGTTATTTCTAACGTAAGCAGGATAATTTATATTTTCTACTTATAAACACTGTAGAGTAATACAAGCTGGTATATAACCCTATTGACAAGTTATCTATTGTATAAAATCAGTACAATATATTTACAGTACTGTTATATTCTACGATGATCTAATGTAAGCTAATGCATAATTGTAGAATAGATCACTGCTTAATTTATCGGTATTAGGTCGTATGCTTATGATTCTACTATATTATATAAGTTTTAATAAGTATTTATGTAGTGCCAGTAGACTCTAATTTAGATATAGTAATATGCTATTAGTTACGGATGATGTGACTGTTGTTCCATGGTTTGTGCAATTAATGTTGCGTAAGAATTTATTAATAATATTTAACCTTAATACATAAATGCAATAAAGGGAGTTCAGTAATTTATCGTACAAGTGTAAGGGTTAGACGGTCTATATTATGTCTGCCGCGAGATGTAAGTAAAATAGTTTATTGTTATCATGTAGTATTAATCTTGATATTAAGTTCAAGCGAGATCCGAAATAGCTTTACGTGTATTTTGTGAAAATATATATATCTAATAAATATTGCGTAAGTTTTATTGAGATGCAGCATTGATCAGACTCCAGCGTGAGATGTTAATTTAAAGCGATGAAAGTAAATTTGATAATGATACATTGGCATGCTGTTAAACCATAGTAGGACATATGCTACTGTTTGAACTCGTGTTGAACCAATATGAGTACAATATTATTAATTGATGTATAGCATAGTATTGGGTTTTCAGAATCATTGTATATAATAACCTTTCATTACAGTCTTTATGATATAGATCGTATATTGACCTGACCGAAGAATAATTTTCACCTTAAAAATGAAGTTGGCTTTGGGTTGTCAATGGAATAATGTTAGCGATTACGCTATATATTCTAAAAAATTATAATATGAAAACATATCAGTTCAAGCTTACAGCTCTACATGTTGATATGTTAACTACAATATCTCTATCATCACGAAGGCGCTCTTGTATTCCTATTGGTTTTGCGGTTGGCAGCAGAGCAGCCTCTAGTGTGACTATATAATAATTTTTGTCCAATGATGATATCATAAACGACTTAGCTGTTAAGGATTAATTAAAATAACATCGGATTATCGCAAATAAAATTCTGATGATGATAATAACAATATGGGAAATGTATTGTATATAGGCGAACCTAAATTGGCCTAAAGCTAGAAATAACCGCTATCGTAATGAAGATGATATTATAAATAAATACATTGAACATCAGAAGTAAAAAATATAGCTTAGCATTAGTGATAAAAATTTTGTATTAAGTATTTGATATTAAGATTAGCCTATAAAGATTCAATGCTATGAAGCTATGCTAACAAGATATAGCACAGTCGTGTGTGAAAAACAATTATAGAAAGTTCAGTCTGCATGTACCGTTGATATATAGTTTATAAGACAGCTGATTGAAATTAATAAAAAGATTATTGTAATTTTAGATAAGCTAGCTTGGTATTTTTATAGGAAGATAAAGCATTCATAATCGTAGATATAGACTACTGGTGGGTTTAGATGGCCTCAATCTGTAAATAGTATGGTATAAACTTTTGTAGTCGTATAGATTTTGCGTACTTTGAAAATTGCAGACTTTAGAAATTAATATTCTATACTTAATAATTTAATTGTCATATTATATAGAGACCGTATTTCTTTATATTGATTTAGATAGTGTATACAATCAGATATTAAAAACTTGGAGTAGTTCAAGTATAGTACTTAAAATTTGAGCAGGGATAACCATTTATGTAATATGGAATATTGGTAAAAATGTTTTAAAATTATCGGCATCACTTCATACGTACATATAAGTACCCTTACTACTCCCGCTATCTCTGTATAGTGACAGGATTTGAAAAATAATTTCCATGTAGCTGATACTATTTCTGAAAATTTTGATATGTTCAATCATCGAGATAAAAAAGGGGAGATTTATTGTGGCTATATATCTAAATTAGTAATTTTTTATTCAGTAAATACCAAATATCAAAACTGTTTTGAAAGCTATTCAAAATTCACACACCTCTGCCAGCTATATGGTATAGTATTTGCCTATTTCTGATAAGAGATTAAGTGATTTCCTTTTAACCTCTTTCAATTACATTATTAATGTTTCTGGTCAAGGAGTACAAATTTATTCGTTGATTCTTCTAAGAATTTTCAGTTTTTATCGGCAAAGATATTCGGTACTATCCATTACGAGTATAATAATTTGCTAGCCCCTGGCATTTGCGCTTATGATAATAATTTTATGAAAGCTAAAACATCTTATAATCATGATCGAAATATGGAATTTATTTTATGCTATAAAATGAGATATAGGCAAATCTATACTTTGTGTCACGGCTTGAAGTCTATATTTGACGTTCGAAACTTTAAATTTTTCATTTACGCCTGGTCTTTGTAAAATAGCGGGTTCATGAACAAAGTATGTTGATACTGATAAGCTATGTACTCATACCACTGATATTTAGAGAAAAGTAAATGACTGACTGTCCTGGCTGAACAAATAACTTTACCGATGCTAGATATTAAACTAAGTAAATTCCGGTTTAAAATTGTATTTTCATTCTGTCTTATTCTATTCTATCTCAAAAATTGAATATTATGGTTAACATGTTATCAGCTAGAAAGTAAAGGTAGTAGATAGGACGAAAATATGTATTATTTGTTGTTGTAAGGAACTATATGCTTATAGTGTATTTTTAGATTTCAGTAAAGAGCTTCTTCGTAAATAGCAGTGATACTTTAAAATTTTACTTAGTAATCACAGTCTTAATTATATCATGAATGCCATAAACTGAATATTTGTATTGCTTCACAATTATGGGTGATTTTAAATTAATTCAAAATATAACACTAAAACCAGGGTTTCAGCTTTCAGTGTAACTTTTGCTTTTTCTGCGTAGCTCTATCTTCACTGCACTTCCATGAAACTACAAATTCAAGAAGAAATGACTCGATTTTAAGCGTATCAGGTTTGAATTGATTTTTATTGTCTTAAGTCATTATTCCCGTTATTTTAAAAATTAATTACCAATTATAGAATTTTCCTTCTTTTCTAGCGATATTTATAATATCACTATTACACTTTAACCGTATACGGATCTATTACTGTGTAGCTTTGTTATGCCTTCATGATGTGATTCCAAAGGTACTTGAATCTTGCCAATAGAATTGACATATGGTATATAGCAAGAAATTTATTTTAATGCCGTTTCTTTGGACTATTGCTGATTTAAAAATTGGTATACCCATATTCAGATTAACGTTGATTAGAGACTAGTGGATTAAATGTAGATCAATTTGTTTGTATATAAGTTCTACAATCTTCATATTTTAAAAGTATTATTCGTGAATGGATCAAATTAAATAGCAAGTAGCAGGTTAAATATAGATCAATCCGAGTATTCCTTCGTTACATTACTTCTCCACTGAATAATGGTCAATTCTGGTAAAATCTGTCCTGACTGTAAAGTGATTTCTTCCGCATTGATTAGCTAGAGTACTTTTCAACTAAATTAATGCTATATCATAAAATGAAAATTCTCGCAATATTTACCCAAAAGTAATGAATAACTTATTTCGTAGTACAAATTATTTTAAAATTCAACCAAATTGTCCATCTCTTAAAGAGCGGTAGTTGGGGATTTCTATTAATGTAGAAGTTTCTTTTGGTAGTACATTGTCAAGAAAATTATAAATGAGGTGAATATGGAAAACGCGATTTAGATTTTGAGGAACGTTGAGGAGTAGCGCCTACCGATATTCTCATCACTGTCGCTCTTTGTCTTCGATGATAACGATTTAGATCATGAACGAATGCTTGGATACTGCCTCGATAGGATTTATTAGCTAAACTATAAATAATTGGATTAGCTGCTGAATTGGTGAAAACTAAGGCTAAGCCTAGTTTTTCAAATCGATGGTTTTGGCTACTTTTTCCATTGATTAATCCATTTAAAATCATAACAATCGAGGGTAAATTACAGCATAAGAATGTACCAACGATAACCATAGTGGTTTTAGTCGTTTTAAATGACATTTTATCTCTTAAATTAAGTCGTCTAATAAGATGAATTCGCCTTCTGTTGCGCATTGCTTCACGATAAATCAAGACATAGGAAATAAAAACTAATAATAAGCAAATTGATGTCGATGTGTAAGTTATTGCTAAATAGATACCGTTATTGACTTTCAAATTAACGTCAATCCAGCAGATAAACAAATAATCTACATATTGGTAGGTACCTAATCCAAGATGTTGTAAATTGAATAACGGTACAGCAGACATTAATAAGGACATAATCCATGTAGCGGTGATCGCAATAACCGTTCGATTTGTTGTAACATAGCGCGGGTATTTTAATGGTTTTAGAACCGATATTAAACGATCTACAGAAATGCATACCACGGTTAAGATAGAAGCCTGTGTACATACATTAGTAATATAGGCGGAAATAGAGCAAAAGGGCTTAAAAAAAATTTGATGACCAAGAAGAATAGAAATTGCAAATGGCGGAATAGTAAATGCACCGACAATAAAATCAGACATAGCTAAATTTGTAATAAGATAGTTAGCGTTGCTATTGAGAATCTTATAACGATAGGTTAAAATAAGAACAGCCAAATTACCTATAACAGCTGTAAAGCTAGCTATAACCATTAATACAGTAATAAAGATATCAAGATGATCATTTCGTGGCAAAGTTTCATTTGACATAGTAGAGCTATTGCGTAATGGTGACATTTTTCTATTTTATGAAAGTAGTATAGATGATTATTGACTTAGGTTGTCAATTACAATAACGTTAACATACGATGATGGTATAAATGGGTAGCAAAAATGGTTTTCCAGTTCAATCCAATCCAAATTACTAATGCAAAGTCTAAATAGAGACGTTTATGTATAAAAGGCAATTATTTTTGCTTCAATCTGCTCGTAGAATTTGTTCTTGGAAGAAATCAATTCATGGAAGATGATTATTATAATACCATAGAGAGTTGGAAAAACGTTGTTCTCGCCGTAAAGTGATTAAAGTAAAAAGGATAGGAGAAAATAGCTAAAAACAATAATTTGCTATTGACTCACTAATCCGATTAAAATGTAGAATCTATATTAATCAAATTGGAGCGATTACAGATTTAAGCGATTTGCAAATAGAGTTTCGTAACGTCACTGATTTTAGCTGCAAAGACGAATAGCGAAAGGCGCTCTTTTTTACATGCATTTGCTATCTTGGTAAATACAGGATAAAGCTGAGCTTTTAAATCTAATAATAGTTAAACAATAATACCCTCCATTTCATAAAAACAACAAGGAAATGAAATTATATACTGATTGAAAGTTATCACTCGTGTATAATATCATTAAATATAATGTTGTTATAAACACATTCAATATTTTGAAGAGTAATAGATAATGACTTCAATTAGCAATAATTATTTCGAGTTGAATAAATCATTGTCGTATTATTCATCTTCATCGACGCGGTATTACTTTACTAAATTAATATATAAAAGTTTATGGAATTCAAATTAAGTAATTTTCGAAGGCGGAAAAAATAACAATTATTCTTTGTTCATCTCTATTAGCGTTGACTTGTAATACAGTAACATAAATCAATCTTTGCTATTTGGATTAATTAAATCTTCTCTGACGTTCTTGTTGAAATAGGGTAAATTGAAAGCCAATTAGTTATTAAGTTAACTCTATCATGCTTCAATTGGCGAAATGTTGATTAAAATTATGAAAATTATTCTATCATTCCATGTTTATGATATATAATATGGTGCTTAACTACATAGATCTTATTGGATTGAAATTATTGAATTGTTAATAATTTAAATAGCTTAGCAACGCTAGATTAATAAGGAATAATAAAGTGTAACAGATAGTTTGCCATATTAATACACAAATGAATCTGGTCGCAAAATGATCTATCAAATTTTGTCACATTATTTACAACTTTCTTCCTTAATGGACTTAATGTATATTAATAATGAATTATTCCAATTTTAATGGATTGGTGAAAATTTTTAACCGCGAATCTTTACTTCTTCATATCTGATCACTGCCACTGTGGACAGTGAAAAATTGATTGGATATAAATAGCAGACAACATAGAAAGCGGTTCTTTCCATATCAATTGATTAAAGACTACTTCACGAAGATGCCATAAGAAATCGTCGTTAATTAACATGTAATTTGATATCTTGAACTATTACCGCGAAATAAACATGTGTTGATGAGATCGACTTTTATTACCCTTTCAAAGTGAAAGGTAGTTGAATGAAGCAGTATCAAAAAATTAGGGAATAAGAGAGAGATGAGATCTTGCAGGGATTAAGAATACGAAAATAACCATATACAGTATCAACGGCATATGACGTAATCGAACTATACCCGTAGCATATACCGATAGTTTTGCTCTAGCACAATTATCATAACTTTGCCAAGTGCAATGCCGGGTAGGCCGCAAAACTATATTTTATTTTAAAGTAAAAAATCTAAGCATTATGAATCTTGTGTACTTAAATATCTTGAGTTAGTATTGGCTAGATGTAGTCGCAGTAAATGAAATTTATGCTGTAGTAGCATTGTAAAGCAAGATTCAAATTTATCGCAGGTCACGATTTATTATAAAAGGTTGGTTCAGTTTCATTTTCATAATTTAAACACCGATAATAGCAAGATAATTTTATAAATTAGCATATTAGTCCTATAAAAGTTAGCCTTGTCAACTATTACAATTACTAACTTTTACAATTGCTGTAACTATCGAGAGAATGAAGTGTACTAAAACGTTTTGAAATGGACAACCATATTGAAAGATAACTTAAAGTTAAGGCTTTTGTATCGTGCTTAATGGTAATCCTATAATTATACAATCTTGAATTGCAAACCTATATACTGTATGATTGCACACTCAAAGTAAGAAAGGTTTTAAGTAAGTATGATGATCTGGATGGATTACTACGGTCAGAAGTAAAGGTAAGGGGTACTATTTAATACTTTGTTTCGCTTCTACTAAAGTCCAATAACAAAATTTTCCGTTTTAACACAAGTTTTTGTATGGAAATTAAAAGGATAATGAGGGTAGACATTTAATATATTTACATTTTGAATGAGAATATTACAAACAAATGCTACAGTATAGAAGTAACAATTTAATTAAACTACATCAAAATTAACTCAATAATAACTGTTTAGTAGCTTCCACGTATATTTTTAATAATTCAATGCAATTAGAAATGCAAACTACCGCGTGCAATCGAGGAAGACAATAGGATAAAAGTCGAACTTATAACACTCGGGTATTTATTACGAATTTTTAGTGAATAGAAGCAAGTAATCATATCAACACTTTTCCCCGGAACTTCCTGTAGAAATGATCATTCTGTACTAAAATGGAATCATCATGGCTAGTATAGAGAGGCGTTTATGGTCTATTGTTGAACTATTTAGTGAATTACATTAATCTGTGTTCTAGATTTTCAACCATGGGCTTGAGCGAAATAAAGTTGATATATGGAGTTTTTAAGGAAGCCTTGATCTTCCTACTTACGGAATAACAACCACTTATTTCAAGAATATTCGCATATATTTATATTATATTTGCAATATGCAAGATTGTATTTATCGATATAATCTTTCAATAATTATAAGATATTCTGTTGACTTTATCAATTTTAATTAATAGCGGAAAGGATGACATAATTGAACTGATATGTCTAGAATTAAGGATTAATTAGCTAGACCATAATTAACGACCTTCTTTCTGTCTTATGGTGAAAATTGATGATTCAAGAGCTGCTTTCTATCTCTTTGAAGGTAGGTAGCAGCTATGAATTAAAAAGTATAGCAATACAAGTAGATGGGTAATTCTATGAATGCTGTGCAAGAGAAAGTCCTTGAACAAGTAGATTAAGATGTAGCTGAACATAAAGAATCATGTGCTCTTGTTCAAGACGGCGGTATAACATCCCAGTTTTTACTACTATATTTTTAATGATAAAATCTTTATTCCTTCTAATTTATGTTTCAAATTGAAATTGAAATGGTTTTAGCTCTAGCATACTGCGGTTTGATTGTTAAATTCTGAGAAATAGTTGCGTAATGATGTCTTTGCTAGTTTGCGAATTCAATGGATTTATTAACGGGACATAATGATCAGTAATTTAACAATGATGAGTATCCAAATACAATAATTCTAAAATCTGGGGTAAAAATATTCGAAATTTGGTACAGTCTGTTGAATTATATTTGAATCTAGGCCTGTTTGGGTAATTAGATACCCGGGGTACGTGTTCTTTGCATATTTTAAATTTTGAATGATATATTGGTTAAAAATTTATGTAAGTCCGTCGCATAAATTAGTAGAAAGTTTGGAAGTGGATTAATTTCTCTTACAATCATTGATTATTTTAGTTATTTTAGTTATTTTACGAGTTCACTAAATTTGTAAACTAGTGGTGACGATGAATATGTCACATAATATGATTTATACAGAATTTGCTTTTTGTAGTCCATATTGGATAATTACTGATAGTGCAATAGAACTTTGTGCATTTTTTGAATTTGTTTAGTTAGCAAAGTAAGGGGGTATTTTCGTAGTTGTTTTTGTAGGCTTATTAACACAGCTGGAGAGCACAATAAAATGAAATATCATATTCGATACAGTAGTTTCCACATTATACCAGTCTATGTAAATATAGTTAATTATATTTACAATTTATTAATGAAGAAGTGCCCTAGTTCACATATTTGTTAAAAATCTGGTTGATTTTTGTTTATTTCATTAAAATAGAGCGTTTAGAACGAATTTTGTATGAGATTATATTCTTGAGTGTAGATACTGCAGCATAAAAATTATCCGGCCACATGTCTATTACAAGAAGTAATTCTAACCTTAAATTCTTAATATGGGTGGAATAACGGTATACCATTAGCATCGAAGATAAGGAAGATAAATCGGAAATGAATCTACATTAGCAGTAATTGCTTCAGCACTTAATAAATAGGCTCGGCACAATAATAATTTACATTTGGAAAGCCATTCTGCAAGTTAAGTGTAGATCAAATGCAGACGTCTAATAGTTTACCGTAGAGAAATCTAACGTAGCTAATTCTAATTACCGTAAAAAACTTGCATTGATGTCAATAATTAATTATTTCGCACTATCAAGGCCTTAGGACAGACCAGCGTGCTAGTGTTAACATCCTTTGTAATGTAATTAACTAATCGAACTATGTAAATAATATTCGAAATAGCATAAAAATGCATGTAGGCATCGCGTACTTGAAGCTGATTGCAAGGGATTTTGGTAGTTCGTATTGTAATAGACTGCGTAATTTATGGATTAGAACATAATTAATTCCATTAGTAGATGTTAGATAACTGTACATAGTACTAATTTTGGTAGTACTCTTGACTACTTAAATAAAGCTGCGGGATCTTCGAATTAAGAGAGCTGTTAGGTAGAATTACTGTATAATATATTGCAGAATAGGAATTATAGCCGTCACACCTTATAATCAGTACTGTGTAACAATGTTACATATAATAACGTACTAAAGTGTGGCTAACCTAATACATTAGATCACAAAATATTCCGCCTGTATTAGTAGAAGTCAACTTGCGCAACTATATGCATGTTTTAACGTCCGAGTCATTTGGTAATATCTTTTTATATCTTTAAAACAGGGTCTTGACCAAGCATTTGCATAGTATGAGCTTGCTATCCTCCATATATTAGTAGTTTAGCATACTGAAACAAAATAGCCAAGTATGATAAAGCGATGAGAGACTTTGCTTCCATCACTAATTTACGAAACATTGCCATAACATTTGAATAGTTTATCGCATGCAATTTCTTTTATAATTCCATTAGAGTGAAATTAATCAATAGGATTTGTTGACTCGGCTCAGTCAATATCCTGTATTTAAATAGTTAATGGATAGGATTATCAATTGCTTGAAGTAGTGGTATACACTGTCAGAATTAGAATTAATTATAGATTTTATACAATACCATTCTATAGTGAAATATTAAATAAAGTCAATTTCGATTTTATATCAATTATTTAATGTTTAACTACGATTACTAATTGCCTATTTCAATGGAAAATTTATAAGTATAAAAAATTCTACGCCTATTTTCTGACGTTAGTTTTAAATCCCTTTATTTAAAGTGGTCTAGTAGGCAATAAATACATTATTATTAGATTTTAGATTAGAATTAGATTTCTATTTAATAAAAAAGCGATCAAAGTTCTTGTAGTCTATCTATTGTATGACATCCGGATTAGTTAGTTTATTTTATTTATAGGTAATAAGAAAATTTTAATTATGACAACATCTTTTGCAATTATACCATCTAATTAATTGAGCTATTTATTGCTTACTGTTATTATTATAGAATCAGACTGTCAGTGCTAGAATAATACTCACTGGAATAAATGTAATATTGTCGTTTGGTGATCAACTATCGATAAAGATGTTAATGTATGACTTGAATATGCATATAAATTCTGAAAACGCAGTAGATTAATGCCAATATTGTAGATATTAAAGTAATTTCCTCTCTTCGATATATCGTACCAGAGTGAACTTATACTTTTTGAATCGTTCAGATTTTACAAAAATAAAACATATAGAGCACAATTAATGGATAAATTTGTATTTTTCTAAAGATTCCGAATTGTTTGAGGTTGAATTTGTACGGTTTAGAATTTATGTAGTAGTTTCGCTATTGATAGGCATTTACAAACCATTGGAATAATTTCGCGAATAATGGGTGATATACGTGTCGTGTCATATTGGAAGCCATGTGATACAATAAGAACAGTACCTATAGTAGAAGTGTATGCTCGCATGTATCACAGTAGAATCTGATACAAAGTTAACTTATACATTAATTTTGAGTTTAGTTTATTATACAGATTTTAATAGATTTTACATGAAACTGATCTGGTAATTTCAAAGGCAGTAATCATTTAGATATGTATTATGTAAGCTACAGATCTTTATGATGCAACTAGCGTCAATCTTATAGATATAAATTTATACTTTATATTTCGGTAATATAGCTCACATTTATAGTAATTGCTATTATTAACTGTTTTATAGGTTCTATGTGATATGAAATAGCTGCTATAGATGAAAAAGCAATCTTACTTCTTTGAAAAGTTTGCAAAGAAGATAAATCTTTAGATTGATATCCCAAAAACTATTAATATGTCGTAAGGTATTAAACTATACGCAATTCGGTTGGAATAAAAAAACACAGGTATCTATTCCGAATCAAAAAGCATTGAAAATATTTTATCTAGACCTTCCACTAGACGTTGGAGATGTTTACGTTTGTATTAAATTGTAAGATTATAAGAAGCAATCCTTTTAATCTTTTATTGTTATCATAGTTGCTGCAGATATTAAATTCCCAAGAAGGAAACCGCCTATCCAATGTTAATCGCTATTAAATTAACAGTTTTAGCTACATTATGTTGTTTAAGTCGTGATAATCATGACGGCTTTTTTAAGAGCAACTTTTGCAGAAATTATAGCGCTGTATAATTTTATAATTCTTTCAATACGCTAAGTACACTTTTTTCTCTTAGCTATTTTGTGTTTTATGGCGATGATCCATTTCATGAGTGTAAATTGAAGTCGACAACGTAAATATACTAGTTGACGGTTTTCTAATGATATTTTGAATAATTGCTGTTATTTGATAGAGCTACTACGATTTCTATGCATACTAAGATATTCAATTTATCCTAACATACCTATCACCATTGTTAGCATTCCATTACATCAAAATAGGTTACATCGAAAGCCTTAAATAAACTCGCAGTCATATATATTAAAAATTACGCTGATCTATTTACATTTTATGGAATATATTAAATGTTTACTATTACGGTACTTAACATTTAAGTTTATACGCATCTCAATGAGCAAATTAGATATCAATTACTCATCCACCTGGCATTCACTTGATAGATTTAATGACAATCTAGAATAAAAACCGTACATCGCTGTAACGTCTCATGCTATTCTATTTTCTGATAAATTATTTATTTCCAAATATTCTATTAAGCATTGTTGCTATAAAAATTAACTTTTTAATGCTATGAAAAAGTTCCATACATAAATTCCAATGAGAATGAGTCAGACGTAAAATAGTCTCTGTCGTAAACAATTATCTTTGATAAGTTTGACAATACTTTCGTCCACGTGGATTATTTATTTGATGTTCTGGCTATTTAATGGTTTTGTTATTTACGCCAATAGGATATCCAATATATTTCTATATAATTCGAAAATATTTCAATCTACATTGTTGTATGATTAATTTTAGTTTTTAACTGCCTTCACTGTCCTGTTCTATGGGTATTATACCATAGGAATAGCCATATCTAAGTTGATTTTATCGATATATTAAGATTATTTGAATAGGGTTGCAGTGGGTTAAATTATTTATTGTTTCCGGGTTTTATTAGTTTTTATAGAGGATTAACGTTTTCAATCTTGCGAGTGATAAGAAGATAGTTTAACTTTGATAACACTGATGCAAGTTACTAGTAACATTCTCAGCGTACTGAATGACAATAATTATTATCGATATGACCGTTGTACATGTACATTTAATCGTTACAACTATCAGATTTAACAGTCTGTAGCAGCTGTTTGACATTATCAACACTTTCACTTAGATATTATTAACAAGATTTAGCTTAGTCCTCAATTGGCTAAGTCGATGAAATTCTTTAAAACTTAGAAATAGTTATATCAAGCCGGAAAGAATTTTTTAGATGGATAGATTTGTGGAACTACAGTTAGACACTGAATTTCAAGACAACTAAATTAATATTTCCCGAACAACTGAATTGAGAATAAAATTTTGAGAAACCATCGGCTGCTCTGGAAAAGACTGATAGCAAAGGATTAGCTTTTTCTTTCTTTCATCAACATCTGTATGAATTCCGATTACCCAATATGATCTTTTAATTCTTGAAAGAAATTAGCTGTATCTAGCCATACTAAATATCTCACTGAAATTTCACGCCGTATGCATCAAAGATGAAGTAATTATTTCTGAAGGATAAGTAATTGCCTGTGGAATTAAATAATAATACCTTTTTTTCCCATCAGTATGGTGATTGCGTAAATAAAGCATAGGGTAGTAGTCAATTTTAGTTCATTATTCCCTAGTTGATGCTAAACGTTAATGTTTAGTAGTTGAAATTGATATTTACATTATTATTTTTATGTTATTTTATTTTATAATTTCATCAAATTTTTACACCTTGGTAGTGACTTACTTTAGAATATTTTTAATTATTGATTTGAAAAATTATTAATAATTATTTAAAGGTAGTATTAGTTAGAAATGATAGTTGAAAAGGAATATACTTAGCGGAATAAGATAATTATTTTTATGAATTAAATGATATTAATCACTAATGTAACACAAAAAAAGTAGCAAGATGCTGGGGTTATTAACAGAAATTATTTATTAATTCAAAATTTATCTTATTATAAGACATAGGTAAATTAAGCGCCGGTATCTATCAATATTAACTGCTCAAGCTAAAATTATCTCCTAACGTTAACCCTCGTACTGTTTGACTTGGATAGATCAACAACTTGTAGTAGAAGATTGTTTTAGCATCGCCTACCGCGGTGACATCAATTATCTGTAATACCATGTCATCGGCCTACTGCATCAATCTCGAATTATTTGAAACACTATACACGGATTTCTATATTATTACACTGGTTATTAATATTGAAATGGCTTCTATGGAACTGGAATACAATATATAAAGGATAAAAATTTAGTATTTGGGACTTTAATGAAGAATTTTAACAAAGCTATTTCAACGCAAATAGCAAAGACATTATTATTGCATATTGGATTATAGAGCCTCTTGAACCTATTAATCTCACCAACTACGGCTTGCTTTGTTTGATAAATCCAACATTGTCCACCATAAATATCACTTTACCATTTAGATATTATTCTGAGTTTATTTATTAGATACATAATAAATATAGCCCTTTCTAAATACAGCTGCTATCATCACTACTAGATTGATGAAATCAATATTACTCTCCCAATTTTAATATCATCAATTTAGAGTGACACTAACATTCTGACTATCATTGAGTGATCATGGATAGGCTAGCTGAGAGTAAAGGCCTTTTTTTGAGCAATAATATTACAGCCGTGCACAGTAATTATGCTACTACAACGCTATTTACGGTGATGACGGCAATTATATTTGGAAGTACTGTGTTTGGTAATATTATGTCATTATTTGTTATCTACAAAACATCATCTTTATGGGATAATTCCGGTATTTTATTAGGAAATATGGCAGTTGCTGATTTAATCGTAGGCCTCATTTGTATGCCGACTGCTTTTATTTCAATGTGTATCCAGCGTAGTTACCTGGCTCCAATCTTATGTGTTATAACTGGTTATATTAACACTGTTGTTATCGGAACATCATTACAAACGTTAGCTTTTATTTGTGTTGATCGATGTATTTCAGTTCTCAAGCCCTTACATTATCATATGTACGTTACTAATAATGTATTAAGGCTTATGCTAGTAATATCTTGGGTTTTTCCATCTGTTGTTTCAATAATACCTCTACTAGGACTACAGCAATATGGTTTAGGCAAATACTGCTTTGTCAACTATTTATCGACGTGCTGGTTAGATGTAATTCAAGTCCAACAAAATAGAGTGTTTCTATTGATGATTTATTCATTAGTGGTAATTATTCTTACTTGCATTGTAATCTGTTGCGTACTAATACTTCTAGTTATACATAAATTAAGAAATACGGTCGCCGATATCTGCACATCATCGATTCATGCTCGGGCAGTTTCTAAGTCAACTGTTACTCTTATGTTGATTGTAGGAGTTTTCATCTTATGCTTAATGCCTGCTGTGGTTGTTACTTTTATTACTTGCTTTACTAACGTTCAATTCCATGTAACTATTTACCAAATGGCTATTTGCTTAACTTATTTGAACTCTGCTATCAATCCCATCTTATACGGATTTTCTAGTCAAGATTTTCGCAATAGTTACTATACATTATGGAAGAGACATTTTCGTTTATATCGCTTTTAACAACAATCTACGTAAAGAGATAATGTTGAAGCAACTTGTTTTTAACAAATTGACATGCGACAAGTAATATTGGTATTAAACAATTTACAAATACTGTGTACTATCATTTAATGTATAATTAGTTTAATGATAGGATTTAGAAGAATAAAGTCAATTTTTCAAGCCAATCTTTTTATAATTTAAGCTATATTATTTTAATTTTGATGAGAATTATTATCTAGTTACCGGACTAAGTCATATTAATCTTGAAGTATAAATTTCTGTATGTACTAAATGTGGCTTTGGTTTATTTCTTTCTTAACAGAAAGTTATGAATGTGTACTTTAGAAAAGAACTTAAAAGGTGTATGTTGTTCTTTTGAATAATATTTAGTACAGTGCTGAGACACTGATCACCTTTGTTCAAGGTATGAGTATGCGTCTTAGAAAGAGATATTTTAAATAGTGTCTTTCTATTCCGGATACACGAAAGTAGAGCTAAATGAATAATAAAAATAATTTATGCTGTGGAAGTGATAAGCTTAAATTATAATTTCATGTATACAAGATATTGCAAAGTCCATTTTCATGTCCGATTAATCACAGCAGATACTAGAATATTTGAAAGGTAGGAAAACTAAAATGGAGACTTACTTTAGACTTTAAGTTAAATGATACAATTTAGGTCCTATTCTTGGCTTTTATAGCTTAAAGTAGTGCGGTATAGCAATGTAATTTTGTCATTAAAGCTGTATTTTAAATATACACTCAAGGTCTAATCAGGTAATTAATATTTCTGGATGTAATAGCCAAGAGCAAAAGAACTGGGATGTTCTACTTAATAAATATATCTGGATGTAAAGTCCAAAATAAATTAAGATAACTGATGTATATAATCCATTAGAATAGAAATCGTTTCACATAGCTACCGTCAATGTAATATGTGTAGTTTTAACTAAGGTACTTTCTGATTTTTAACTTGCATTGAAATTATTCCCTGCATTTAAAATAGATTTCTTCAAATAATGCTAGGTTATCATTAATCCATTATTGGGCTCTGCCGTTCATTCTAAAAACGTGCGTATATAAGATAACCAAGCATTACTAATGGGAAAGGTTTATTAGTTAATTCGTTAAATTTGACTATGATATCTACAGTATTCATATCATTCCTTTGAAATTGCAGATTAATTTTTTCTGTATTAGCTTAAAATGCATAAATATAAATAAAGATTATAATAAATTATTATCATCTAATTCGATTGCAAGAGTCTACATAATGTCTTTCATGGTAAAGTACGTTGATTTGGTTAGAAAATATATTTTTAAGAAGTAAGGCTTCTGCTATTTTACTACTATTTTCATCTATGCTATAAATTAAGAACTGGTGTTATAATGATAAGACAACATGGCTTTAAAAGATTCATGAAGTGCTCAAATTCATATAAACAGTCAAGTGTACCGTTCAATTTCAATCTTAGTGAAGTCGTATAATTTTTAATTTTTATGCGAATAAATCTACCAACTATCGTATCGAAATTAATAATAAACAAATTAACTGTAATTCTCACTCATTAACCGAAATTCTACACTTGATATAGAACCGATTTCATCGGTCTCGTTGCTAATAGGTCACCATATTGATAGTATACTTTTTTAACTGCCGAACGGTTAAGGCAGATAATACTAGCGATTGTATCTTAATAAGCAGATGTTCTATTTGTCTACTAAACAATCACTGAAGTTTGGATAAAAAAGCTTGAGCAACGAATTCTAAAGTGACACTATTCATAATACATAAACAGTTAAAGCTTGCCATCAATTATACATACTCACTATATCGTGATATTTGTATATCGTTAATGATCTTACCAGTGTTTTTGCTGTTTTATTTATCTTCCGTACTATATTCTATGATATTGAGTATATAAATCGAAAATCTAAAGCGTTAATTGTGAGGGTAAAGGCAAAATAAACTGATCAACCTTCCATGGCAAATAAACAGTTTCTTTTAGATATTTTCCAATAAAAGTTTCATCATTATAGTACTGCCCTTGATTAATAAAAATTGGGTTCAGAAGTGCGGCTAGCGTCATGTAAATATTCACGCTTGAATATTATGTTAACCTTTAT